CCTAAGGGTTTTAAGGGTGGAGATTTTAGGGGAGGTCCCTGGGGAAGATCTCAGTAGAATATTCAGCAGTTTTCCAGGTGTGTCTTTTCAGGATTGTGGTCTCCACTAATGGGTGGGGGGGTCATTATCCAATGCAGCTTGTCCTGAGGTCAGCTGTGGCTGGTTTTGTTGCTTTTCTAGGCCTGGAGCTGAAAAAACCCTGAGGCCTAGATGTTATCTCTAGGGAGGAAAGGTCAAGGAGTCATGATCAGGAAAGGTCTGGGGTCATGCTAGGGGAAGAAAGGTCATCCTGGGGGCGAGGTCCCATCCTACAATTGTCCATTGCTAGGCACCTGGGGCTTTCCACCTTAGTGACCTTCTGTACCTGGCCTGTAGTCCTTGCTCTGCTCATGTCTGTCTAACTGCCTACAACAATATTATAACCAAATGAAATAGTATGAATCTCCTTCAGACTATGTCACATTTCTTCATGATGCCTACAGCTGGTTAGTTTCAGTAACTTCTTTTGAAGTAGTTGTCATTTACAGTCAGAGGTTTCATAGAAATTATAAGTTTGTTTGAGAACTTTATCTGATTAAAGATCAACTTCTTATATGAGCTTCATTGAGTTTTTAGTATCTTTCTCACTAAGAAGATAATTCTGCTTTAGAGTAGGTAAAATGTCCTCTGTGACTCATTTACACCTCATAATAAATGCAAAGTGGGTGATATCTAAGTAGATAAATGTGGCAGGAGCTATAATAGTTTGTTCCCTTTGTTACCTCAGATAAGGAAAATTCCTAATTATAAAGTAGGCACCGAAATTATAGCTATGGTCAGTCACTGGGAACCTCAGTGCATTAAATGTCGCCTCATTTAAAGTATGTTAATACAGTTTTGTCAGCTGATTCAACAGATCTTTTTTTCTAGCACCTGTTATGCTGGGCAGGCAGTCTACTCGCTGGAGATTCAGGAGTAAACAGTGTTGAGATTAATGTGAGAGAAAGCAGATTCTATCTTAGATTATTGATTACCTTTAAAATATTCTTTGCTATCATTTGCAACCAAATCTCTTCACATCTACTCCAGGCTCCTATAAAGAAGAGACAGTGGGTTTTACTGCACATTTAAGAAAGTAACTATCATGATTTGAGCCACCTTCTCATAAAGTCAATTCAAAATACCTCCAAATTCAGGATTTTATATAGATTAATAATTGCATGTAGAGCAGATAATAAAATTCAGAACCTTTCATTTTAAAAGCTTAACCCCAAATTTCATATAAATGAAATTAGTCATTTTTCATGTTATAAAACTCTCCAGCTTATAAACAATAGAAGCCAGTATTGATGAAGCACTTCCTACGCGGCACAGTGTTCTAGGCTCTTTATGTATTACATCTTATTTAATACTCACCACACCCTTTGTGGTAGATTCTCTTATCCCCCTTTCACGGGTGTGCAGATTAAGGCAGGAGTTGTGTCTTGTCCCTGGTCACATAGCTTGTAAATAATGGATATGCATTCAGAACTTTGGTACCTGGAATCCCAATACTATTATTTACTATACTATAAATTGTATATACTTTAAATACATGGATATATAAACACATATCTATCTTAAATATACTTAGTAATTTAATTTTCTGGATATATAGTGATATGGCTAGCACATTGCTTGTTATGTTGAAATAATGAAATCTGTGGGGCTTTCTTTCTCTTTCCTCTGTTGTTTGATGTAATTCTATTTTTAAAAGAAATGTTATTATAAAAGGTTTAATAATAAAAGTTCCAGATTCTCCTTTGCGAGCCTTTCAGGCAGGAATTTCTTAACCTCTGCTTTCACAAAGAGGAGGAAGAAAAAGGTTAGAGTTGGGAAACAAGCCCCTGAACTGAGTTTCTGTGAAGACTGTCTTTTGAAAACCCTTATCATGGTTGTACTAATTTGAAATTAAAATGTCTTTTATATTTTATTGCATTTTTAAAGATACCTGTGTGGGAAACAATAGTTTGCACACAGTGGATGTACTGACAAGTACACATTTTGGTAGTGTGAGAATATTCATCTTGAGGAGGAAAGAGCCTGGTGGCTTGTTCATTTTTTTACTTGCGGTCAGGGGTTGCTTACATCACTGCAGGAGAAGGAGCCATGTGACCTGACCTTGCAGTCCGGCGTTCCCAGGGGTGCACATCTTAATTGGAAATGGCTCACCACTTTATGTTTGCCATTGATTAGACAATGAGCTTTTCTTCTGTGGCTGTCAAAGGCTTTTACGTCTCTGTTGATAGCAACTTCTTAAATAAAAAACAACACACAAACTAAGGTAAAAACATAGTAAATCCTTAGTGGCAGCTGATTTATTGTCCCAGTTCCATTACCTTATATTTTGAAACTTTGTTCTAAGGAGTGATATGCCATATCATTCTTGAGAGAAAGCATAGCTTTTGGAAAAAAAAATTCTATTCCATAAATATCATAGAACAAAAATCAAACCTAAGTGCTGATGGGATAAATTGTGTTAGGATACATTGTGGAATAAGGCTAATGACTTTACTAGAGGGCAGTCTACGTTGTAGAAGCAACATGAACCACAATGAGGAATTTAGGGAGTTAGGTTGGACATATTTTTGTACATTTTAAAAATAAATGAACTCTAAGCATTTTACTTTTTAATCCTTTTATATTTATATTGCCCATCTGTCTGATCATGCATTCATTTTAGAATTTATGCTTTGTGTTGTTATAAAAGATTAGAAAACATGTATTACTTTTTAAAATTTTTTAAAATTATTATTATTTTTTGAAATATATCTTTATTGATTTCAGAGAGAGGAAAGGAGGGGGAGAGAGAGAGAGAAAAACATCAATGATGAGAGAACCATTGATCGGCTGCAGCCCGCAACAGCATGTGCCCTGACCAGGAATCGAACCCCAATCGCCTGGATCAGAGGTCGATGCTCAACCGCTGAGCCGCGCCCGGCAGGACCACATATATTACTTTAAACTAAATAATATTATTTGATATGATGCCCTTTACTTATAGTACTATGGAATCTTTAGTGCTTGAAAAGTAAGGGTGTTATCTCTTTTTCCTCAGAAACGTGCTAAGGGACAAGTGTTATTTGACAAAGTGTGCGAACACCTCAACCTCTTGGAGAAGGACTACTTTGGACTTTCATTTCAGGAAAGCCCTGAGCAGAAAGTAAGTGAAATTTCAAGTTTATTTATATAGTCTTAGAAAAATACTGTTTTCTTAACTAATGTAAAATTTAGTTTTAAAATAACATATTTTATGTTTTTATTATGACATATTTTATGTTCATTGTAGAAATTTGGTAAATATTGAAAACTTTCTGCCATTGTGTGTATCTGCTTTTTCACTTATATTATAAGCAGACATAATGGAATGCTTTATTATTAGAGACTGATTTAAACATTTTCATGTTGAATTTTTAGCTCTTGAATTTACCTGTATATACTAGGAAGTAAGCATACCTGCAGAGCAGGGAAGGAGGTTTATTGGAAGGAATGTCCAGAGTACCTATGTGTACTTGTCTGTAGGTTCGAGAGAGAGAATTTGCCTTGCTGCACAGATCTTGGTGGCTCTGTGGGGTGAAGATGTTCCTTGCTCTGTTGTTGGGTTATTGGGGGCAAAACAAGAGATGGGGTCAGCCTGACTCAGGTGGTTATATTTGGCCAGCCAGGATCCTGTGGAGGTCTGCCTGACACCAGGAATGTGTTGAGATTATTTCTGCTCCAGGAATTTCCCAAGACACTAAGTAGGAGCCTAAGAGTTCTATAATGATAAATGCTAATTCCAGGGAACTTCAGGGCTTTTCAGTTGCATAGGTAAATTAAAGAGAGAAAAATTAACCAGTTCTGACAATTCGCCAGACTTAACCTGTGGACGTCTTAGTTAGTTCAGGCTTTTCTAACAAAGTACCTGATGGCTTATAAAGAACAGATATGTATTTCTCATAGCGCAGGAGGCTGGGAAGTTGAAGATCAGTGTGCTGGCAGATTCGGCATCTGCGGAGGACCTACTTCCTGGTTCATATAGCGCCTTCTTGTTGTGTCCTCAAATGGTAGATGGGACCGGATGTTCTTTGAAGCCTCCTTTATATAATCCCATTCATGAGAGTTCTACCTTCATGACCTAGTAAACCCCAAAGGGCCCACCTCCAAAACTCTCACATTGGGGATTAGGTTTCAACATATGAATTTGTTAACACAGAACAAATAAAGTGCAATGTTAACATAGGTTAGCATATGTACTAATGGTTAACCAGAGGTACAAACAATCAACCCTTAGCACTTTCCTCATTGTTAAGAAAGGATTTTCTCTTCTATGTCACTTTCTGAATCTTAGGACTTAAGTCTGGTGAAGCTAGTGGGTACAGAAGAGTAAAAGTTTTGTCCAAGGTTGCACTCTAAAGTGAAGCCCTTTAAAGTTTGTTAGATGGTGGTTGTGGACAGATGCACTGTGATCATTCTGTCTGAGGATGTCCAGAGCACTTGGTCACAGTGAAAGGAGTTCCTTTCTAATATCTAACATTCATATCACCATCAACAGAACAGTTAATAGATGAATATAGGCTGTAAGTTTTATTTATCCACATGGCATCATTGTTTGTATTTAAATGTCCCGGCAATGAAATACAGGATATAAGGGCAATAATTACAAATGCATTAAAATTTCTTAACTTGCTTAGTTTTAAATCCTCGATACCTAATTTGTGGTTTAATTCCACATTTAAAGTAAAGACAGTTAAATTGCATGCCTGCCTGCTGAATAGTATGTGGGTATTCTTATTAGAACTCTCTTTAGAATACTTTTCTCAGAAGTCATGACATTAGACATTTAACTAAATAAACTAGGCACTCTTTTTAGACTTTAAATTATAAGGTGGTCTTCATAACATTTCCAATCGTGCCCTTCTATTGGCCCTCAAAGCTGCAATAGAGAGAGTGATGGGAATTTGGCTGTTATCCACTCTTTTGAAGCGGGCCCCTACCAGATACTGAATCTGCCAGCATCCAGAGAGGCAGACTACTGAAAACAAGTAAGTGGATTGCTGCTGACAGTCCCATGGAGATTGGAGATCATACAATTGTGATGGCAAAATAACATATTGGTGTGTATTTTTCTCTAGTTGCCATCTGAAATTTGGGTATGAGAGTGGAGAAATGGAATATTAAAGGGGTTCCCAGTTGGCTCTGTTCATGCTGGTTATGGTAAGAGGACAACAGATTTAGAAAACTGGAGGTGCTGGTGAGATAGTAATCAAGCTGATTAATCAGAGGATCACCGGAAGGAACATAACTGAAGCGAAAGTGGGCTGACAGGCTGGGAGAAATGGCTAGGGCCAAGGCACAAAAGTCCAAAGAAGTTAAAGAGTAGGTACAGTGGAAATAAATGGGTAGAAAACTAAAAGGAGATGGGATAATCGCATTGCACCTGAGGATGGGATGATGAAGTCTAATGAAGTGGAGAGCTCTGTGTGGTAACAAGACCAAATGAAAAGGGATGGCTGAAGTGTAGGAGAGGTTAAGGTCAGTAAGGCAGAGAATATTAAGATAAGGTTTAGTTTGGAGGGGTTCCCCATAGCATTCTCATTAACGAAAAAATGCTAAATAAGGATTTCAAAATTCCTTATTTACTTTGGAGTTTCTCATAAAATGCTAGAGGAAAATGCTCACACATTTAGGCATGCACATTGTTATCTAGGCTTTAACTATAGAGCATTGGGAGAATAAACAATGGGATGTCCTTTCCGAAATACTCACTTTTTAGAAAATGAATGTACAAATATAATTGGCAATAAATTTAATTATCCATATGTAACCTGTTTGTTTTTATAACTTTTGTATAATTTTTTTATTCCTTCTTTCTTGTGGAGACAAAATTCAGTCCTTAAGACATCTCGGCAAAAGAACTCTTATTTTTCAAACCTAGATTTATATTTTGTCCTATTTTTTCCACAGAAAATTATTACCATTGGACCAACTCAGGTTACTTAATCAGTCCTATTTTGTTTAAAGGTCATGCAGTTTCAACAATAGGATACTGTAGGATGTAGGAATTTAAACTGCTTTCTTTTTTATGCTGAATTTTATCTGTATTTCTAAAAGTTTCAGTTACTTACCATTTCACCTTTTTATAAAGTAAAGGTGAGGGTAAAGCCATGGTTATTTGTGTGTAAAGTTTCCATGGAGAGAAAAATCTAAATTTCCTTTTGATTTTAGCACTGTATTGTGTGTCTCATGGTTGAGACCTTCAGTTGGAAGCCTTTCAATTGACTTTGAGCGTTATGAAAGTCTATCATTGCTAGGACTTTTTCATGTCGAGAACTTTTGTGTAAACTTTACCATGAAAAATGTCATTAAAAGTATGTGGAATCAAGCACATTGTTACTCTTTTATATATGAAATTCCAAGCCCATGAAGCTCTCTTATTCATGTCTATATGAAACTATCATTAAGAAATTTGAATTTTCTTTAAAGGGGAAAAATATTGTCTTGAATTTTTGCTGTTCATTAGGTTTGGCATCTGGCCCCCCCTTGGATTTCATCATTTTACTTCAAGCCATATTGAAAGAGGAGTTTATTTAGAAGCGTAGTTGATATTCACAGCTAACTTTATGAAAATTGATAGCCAGGCCATTTCCCCCCAGAAACTAGAACTAAAAATCAAATATTAACCTTTTTTGTCATCTGTAAACTATTCTTTAATAAAATTCTACATTCAATCCAATTATACCTTATAACACCACAGAAGGAAGTTGAATCATGCTCTCCCAGATGCATAGTGAATGATTCACTGCGATATAGAAAGCCTGTAACTTTTCTGCTTACCACCAGTATTATGGTAGTGTCCTATTAGACTTAATTCAGGCAAAGGTATATTAAAGGGGATCTGCTTTAGTGCTATAAATTAAGGGAAAATGCAGATTTTAGACAAAATTACTCTTACACTTTTAACATTTATTAATACAGTGTGAGTTGGGTTAAATTTAATTTCTCTCATTGAGCCAAATTGACAAGCACCAAAAGTGAGTGAGGAAGGCATGGCCAGGCATTTTGAAAAACTTCTAACTCTGGGATCTTAGCATCCAGCCTGAAGGGGTAGGTGGTTCCTTGAGTTGTTATCTGGGTCTAGTATGGTGAGTGGCCCTGACAAGCAGCTGCACACTCACACTGCTAATGGGATGCTGATAGGGAGGAGTTCAAAGGAACACTTAGATGTGGGAACTGGAAGCAGTGACATGCTAGGGTTTCTGCAAGAAGCTGTCAACAGTCAGAATATTTAGCCAGTGAAGGCTGGGCATTGCATCTACCTGACAAGCCAGGTAAAGGACTTGAAAAATGTCTCTCTATATTTGACTTTCAGGAGAAGACAGTAATTTCTACATAAAAAGAAACCTAGGGCTGTCCTACTCAAAGGGTAGTCCAGAAGCCAGCGGCATTGGCACTGCCTAGAAACTTGTTAGAAATGATGAATTCCAGGTCCTCCCCCTAGACTTACTGGGTTGTAATCGGCTCTTTGACTACATCTTCAGGAGATTCATGTAAACCTTTAAGGTTTGAGAAGCACTGATATAGGGGACAAAATGTTCTTTTGAAGTAGCAGAGAGAATTATAGGGGTTTAGAATGTCACAAAAGCCAAGGGGAGTAGGGGGCCCTAATAACCCAAAGTGGCTCGTGGTTCCAGAACTGTTCCAATGCTCATAGCCAAGTAGGTAGGAATGGGCCATGCCCATTTCATTCTGCATGGAAATTTGGACCATAAGTCTCAGATTTTTTTCCAACACCGGCATCCTATGAATATAAATACAGTAATTCATAATAAAGTTTTATATTTTTCTAGATGACTCTTTTATTAGAGGATAATTGAAGGTCATCTGAGAACCAGCATTGAAAATGTTGTAGGGAAATACCACAGTCCGTCAACCAAGACTGTTTCAGCTCAGATTTCTAGCGGATAGAGAATAGGATTAAGGAGCGTCTCTAATTAACTGGCAGAAAGACTTCAGCATAAAAGAAAATAAGTGTACAGCTCTTTGCTTTACTGCTTAGTTAAAAAATTTCTGTAACCTTCTAAAACAGGGTTTTTTTAACCTTTTTTTGTGCTGTGGGTTCCTTTGGCAGTCTGTTAAATTCTGTGGTCCACTTCTCAGAACAGTGGTTTAAATGTTTAAAGTACACAGGCCTATAAAGGGAGCCAATAACAAATAACATTCTCAAAATAGTAATTAAAGAGTTTGGGATGAAGTAATCATCGGTATCTAATACCTACTGTGATTTTAAAATAATTGATTACCATAAATGGTATTTCAAGATCTGGACTACTGTAATGTGATGTGGAAATATTTTTGATTCCTACGAGTGACAAAGCTAACAGTTCTGCTGATATTAACCAGGTTTTCTTCTACATTCCTAATTGACGGTAATGCCAAATTTCAGTTACAGGTTAGTGAAAGCAAGGATGTAAGAT